CTTTCTGTTGGGCGGTGTGATACTCCACTACCTCTCCCCTTCCTTCTGTGCATGTATGGGCGTGTACGGGAGTTCATGTGAGTGAGTGTTGATAACATTTCAACAGACAATCATGTTCATAACAATTGGTATCGGAGCAGATCGGACCCAGACAGTGGCGAGATGATGGACTGAGGCAGCCATCACTACCTGAGAACTTCTGACGTAGGGTTTCATGGAGAAACTTCATCTTCAGTGTTGCGCTCAGTAGGGTGTTGGTGAAGAGTGTGTGGCGAGTGGTATGACACAGGGATTGGTGGCGATTCAGTGCTCAATGGCCTGGGAGGCACTGAGGGGCTATTTTTAGCCCAAGTGGTGACCTTGCTAGTGGCGAGATACCTGGGGGTATGTCGAGTTGCAAATTCTGAACCAGGTTCAGAGAATTTGGCTAGTGGGGATTATTCGCCATATCAAGAGCTTCAGTATCACCAAGTTTCAGGAGATTTTGAACGTGGGAGCACCAGGAACAGTGGATGGAAGAAACTGGCAGCCATAGCCAGTTCAGCTTCTTCATGCAGTGTTTTGACCTGAAGTGAGTGTGTTCCTTACTCAAGTCCCTGTAGCGAGTCTGATGAGTGTAATTAGACTGGGGAAATAGTAGTTGCATGTCTGTTGACAGTGAAACTTGAAAATCGCACCGCCTGACAGCCATAGTCATTTCTCCTACCTACCTACTTTGACTTTTACTGACTCTGTTTGACCTCCTCTCTACCTCAAAATGCATCTCAGACTGTATTACAATATTGCGATTCAGTACCCACTGTGGATTGAGTTGTTCAGGGTCTGTATGTCAGTGATAATGGAATTCTGAATGTTGCGCTGCCATAGCCAGTGCTTGGGGCAGCTAGGGTTTGTTATAACTTAGGTTCTGTCCGTCAGAATTTCAGTTTGTCAGTCACCCTGAAATCGCAATTCAGTATATAGTCGGTGTCTGAAAGCGCTATACTGGATTTGATGTTTTGAGTCCGGTACAACACCCACAGTGGGGCATACAGGGTCATACAGTGCCAGTGTCAGTAGTAGGAGTCTAAAAATAGCTTGTTGAGTCACCCGCTGCATCTTGGTTGACTACGGGGTTCTGGGGATTGCTACTAACTCTCTGTGTTATTCTAATTTGTCTGCTTACAGTCCAAGGTTGCATCCTGTCTATCTTTCTGACAGCGATTTTGGGGTATTGACTCAGATGAGGGTTCTGGGCTGTGAATGAAAAATCGCAAGTCTGATTTTATCTGGTTTTGACCTAAACTGACCCAGAACAGCCCTCAGCTACCTACAGAGGCTGAGCGCTCTTCTGCCTATAACACCACGTCTGTTCTTGTCAGGTGGCAGTCATTACATCTGTGAGTGTGTGTAATCTTAATCTTTGCTTACCTCTTATCTGCCTGTTTATATTTATTGACTGTGTGAGTGGTTATCATGGTTGACGCTGAAGACAAAATGTCTGAAGAGAAGAAGGAGGCAGGAACTTTTGCGCCTCCTGAGCCTCCTCTCTCCCCTCTGGATCAGGCATTGCTGATTGTTGAGGAAGCTAGGCGAAAAGTTGATGAACAGATCGCCAAGCTCAGGAAGGAGAAAGAGGAAGCTGAGGAGGCAGGGAAGCAGGAGGAAAGGAGGAGACAACGTTTGGTGGAGGTACAAAAAGTTGTTGACAATGGTTCTGCCAATGGATACAATAAGAGTATTGCTGAGATGGTCATCTTGAATGACACACTCAGCAGATCTTATTTTTCCAACTGGGACCACCGGATCTCTGCTGTGGAGAGCCAGGTCTCTGCCATCGAACACCAGGTGGATCAGATGGCAAAGGACCTGACCTCTCTGGCAACAGGGATGAACAGCGTTCTGCAGCACCTCAAGCTGCCTCTCCTATCCCCCCAGCCTGTACAGCCAGCTGATCACCCGGCCAGCGGGTTCACCACCCCACAGTCGTCCAGCCTCACCTGCTGGTTCTCATGTATCCACCCCCTCTGTTGCTTCTAGTACATCTGTGCAGCGAGGGCCCAAGCTGACACCACCTCCTATGTATTCTGGGGAAGACCCCAAGGTGGATGTATCAGACTGGGTCACCGCTATGCAAGCATACCTGGGCAGCTTCACATGCCTAGAAGCAACAAAGGTGGGAACCATTCTTGGCCGGTTGGAGAGGTCTGCACCTCCCCTGCAACCAAAGAGAATGTTGCTATGGATAGATGCACCTCCCCTGCAACCAAAGAGAATGTTGCTATGGATAGATGGGCACAACAGCTGGGGGTGGCAGGGTTGCTGAAGGCGCTGCAGGACCGGTTTGCTGACAGGGAGCAGGCCCGTAAAGCAGCTGATAAAATTATGCTGCTGGGGTCTCACAGATTTGAGGGCTCTCTGTCCAAGCTCTACAGCCTATTTGAGAGCTTGACATCGACACCGGGTCTGGAGATGAGTGAGTCTGACCAGCTCACCCACTTCCTGCGTGTAGCACCTCCAGACTACTCGATTGCTTTGTATGCTCAGGGCCACAAGGACTGGAGGTCCTTTGGCAAAGCGGCACTGGACCTAGAGTCTCGGCTCAAGGTTCAGACCCTTTCTGAAGGAAGGAAGAGGCCTACCTCCCGGGGACAGCGCAGGAGGAAAGGCGCTCTATTGGCTGCTGATGCAGGTTCTGATTCTGATGCATCTCAGTGTGGCAGTCCTCCATCTGAGACTGCATCAGGATCAGCAGTTGAGCCAGCCGTTCTTGCCTTGGATGAGAACCTTGCTGCCATGTTTAAGGGAAAGTTTAGCAAAGACAGCAGCAAGGGTTCAGCCAGTCAGAAGGGGAAAGGGAAGAGACGTGCCACTTCCCCTTAGGCCCAGAGACCAAACTTACCACGAGACGTCCATTGGCCAGTCAACGTCATGGATCCTTCCACCCTTCCCTGGAGAGCGCTCAGGATCCAGGAGGGGCAGTGGCAGAGGAGGAAGGACCGTGAGGTTTGTTTTCTGACAAGCTCGCGCACTATATTCAGTTCATTGATCTTTTTGACTTTGAACTGAAACACAAGAAGGGCTGCTACAATCGCGTAGCAGACGCCCTTTCTCGTAGGTCTGACGCTGTCTGTATGATCTCCTCTACTCATACCTTTGGAGAGAGTACCCGTCAGACCATTGCCCAGCTATTGCCACAGGGACCGACTTTTGGCCCGATCGTTAGGAATCTGCAGACTGATCCTACCTCTGAACCAGGGTATATTCTGGTCTCAGATCTGCTGTATACTTGCAGCAGAGGAGAGGAGCGTATGTGCATCCCTCAGGACCGCCCGCTGAGGACACTCATGATGTCCGAGTGTCAGGATGCGCGCGGCCACTTTGGAGCCTTAAAGTCGTTGGCTGCCCTGTCGCAGCGGTTCTTCTGGCCAGAGATGAGGAAAGACATGCCGCACTACGTTGAAACTTGTGAGTTGTGCCAAAGGAACAAGGTCGTTCGTCGACCTCCCCTTGGCCTGTTACAACCACTTCCCATTCCTGAGGCACCTGCACAGTCAGTGTCTATTGATTTCACTGATCTGGGGAGGACTACCCCTCATGGTATGCGTCAGGTTATGGTGTGTGTTGACAGGTTTTCTAAGTATGCAGAGTTTATTCCTCTGCCAGAGGAAGCCAGAGTCCCGGCCGTACGAGCGACCTTTGCTGACAGGTGGGTCACTCGTCATGGACCACCCACCTCTATTGTCAGTGATAGGGATCCGCGGTTCTGCAACAATGAATGGCAGTCCTATTGCAAGGACTACCTTCATTCCAGGTTGAACATGACATCTGGTCATCATCTTGAAGCCAATGGGCAGGCTGAAGTGATGAACCAGATTCTGTTTCAGTTGCTGCGTCCTGTGATCAGCCCTGATCAATAGGATTGGGATCTCCATCTATGACGGGCACAGCTAGTGTACAACACGTCTGTACACTCCTCCACAGGGTTCACCCCTTACCGGTTGCACTGGGGACATAAACCACGGCAGCCTCTCGATGACATCATCGACAAGGCTACCCCCAGACTGACTCCTGGGACTGCAGAGTTCACCAGACAGTACCAGAGGGATATTGAACAGCTTTCGCGGGAGGAGGACGTTTCGCCTAAGCTGTTGCCGCGTTACATGGGTCCATGGCAGGTTTTAGATACAGTGGGGGCTGACCCTTTTGGGCCATCCTATCATGTAGATGTCCCACTGCACCTACAAACCTACCCTGTCTTCCATGCATCTAAGCTGCTGCCTTTTACGCCAGATGATGCATTCCCAGACAGGCCTCCACAATTTGGTCCCCCGATCCCTGGCAAGGGATATGAGGTGGAAGAAGTTGTGGATGAGTATGGTACAGGCCTGGATAAGGAGTACCTTGTGAAGTTCCTTTACCAGCCCCATACAGAGGACCGCTGGTTCACTCGCAAGGAGCTCCTGAAAACAGCAAAGTCCGTTATCCTCAAATATGAGGCTGCGCAGAAGGGAGAGCCCCTTCGCCGCTCTGCACGCCTACGCCCCTAGCTCGGAGGTCCTCGCTCCGGGGGAGGGTAGGTCTGCAATGACTTGCTGTTTCCATGTTGCCTGTGGCCTCACTCTGTCGAGACTGTACTATAGTCAGGGGTAGATTCGTAATTTTGTTGGCTGAGGGCTAACCGAGAGACCTGCCTGTGTGGAAAACTCGTGAGGGACATATCTGTAAATATAGAAATATGGTCCCTGCACTAACTCGATTTTCCTACAGCTACCCTAACTGCAAATACCAGACCCGGGCTACCCCTAGGACAGACAGGCCCTATGGGCCTACGTTGATAGACGATCCTATAGCCTATAGCCGGGTAGGGAGAGGCCCTAGAGGCCGAAACTGAAACGGTACCGGTCGGTCAGTAAGTCCGGTCTAGGTCGGTCTAGGCT